CGGGCGAAGCCGCGGGCGTAAAGCTGGTTATTGTTATGTTTGTTAAAAGACGACACTGAATTTACTTTTTGTTAAAATTGGTGGTTGGGTAAACTGAAAAAAAAAAACATCCAAGTAAATTAAATTGCAGGTAGCTATTGGTCAATAGAAAGTCCCAACGAACTGCCAACCTTCAGTGGTAACTTCAGTAAAATCAAACTTTTTTATTGGAGTCGCATTTTTCTTTTTGTAAGTACCTACTACGTCCGACCATCTTTCTCTGGGTGCGAATCATACGTCAAGTACCCGAGAAAATTGGTACTAAAGGAGGTTCGGCTAATAAGGGCCGCTTTTAATGGGGCCCGTATTTTTAATCTCGCTCTCATTTAGTAATTGGTACTTATCACAAGAACGTACTTTATATCAGAATCAAAGCGTAATACTTTGGACTCGTATTTTATAATTAGAATTCTTAAGAAGCAAAATTTCTTTCTTTGTTTGGGATAACAAACAATCTAAGGTTACATTTAAAAAGTAGCGTAGTATTTTAAGATTTTAAACTTTCGCGTTCCATTTCAACTAAAATAGTAATAGTCTGCTTGTGACCACGGCTGCAGCATAACAGCAGAAACGTCAAGCTGTAAGTACGTTAAGACCCATGTCTTACTATTTTAGCGTAGTATTTATTTATTTCCACTTGAATGTCAAAACTGGAACATTAGGCGAAATTAATGCCATATGACATTCTCGACCAGTTTACCTTAAATTTTTTTTAAACATTTTTTACATAAACTCTACAAATTGGCTTCAAATTGATATCAATCGATCAACAATATTCAAAACAGACTATTTTTATTCATAGACTTGTACGCAATTTTTCTCTAAAAGTGGTAGAAAAAGGGTGTGATCTATTTTAATTTCCAAACTTACTGTCTCTTTTTAGATGACTTCGTCAATTTCTGTTGTTACTATATTTTATATAAATTCCTTTGTGAATACTAGTTAATTTACTCACAGAAATCAAATCCAGCGTATCAAGTAGAGAGAGATCAACGCTCTAACCACTAGAGCACGGAAAACATAATAAAATCTTCGAAGCTAAGCCTAATAATGTAAAGGCGAATTATTACGCCTATATTGTCTACATGTTGAATAATAGGTATATCCCGCGTCTCCCCTTATGATTAACTACATTAACTAACTTTACGCCCGCGGCTTCGCCCGCGTGGAATTTTGTCTGTCACAGAAAATCTTTATCACGCGCGTCCTTGTTTCAAAAACCGGGATAAAAACCATCCTATGTCCTTTCCCGGGACACAAACTATCTCTATGCCAAATTTCATCAAAATCGGTTAATGAACCAATGGGGTTAGGAGTGAAAGCAAGACAGACAGACAGAGTTACTTTCGCATTTATAATATTAGTATAGAAGTATAGATAGTATACTTAATTAACCCTCTCTTCCGTTTGAGTCTATATTGGTATCACTTTGGCAGACACAAATGCTAATTCATCAATTCGAAACTGAAGTAATGACAAAGAAGCAAACGTCTTTGTGGTCCCAATATCTTCTGATCGAATTACTATTGAGAAATTCTCTATACATAGTTTCCATACCACATACAAAACCTTTTTGCCCGTGGTAGGTACTACTACCAGTTTCTATTTACTGACCGCCTCAGTAGTACCACAAAGATTTTTTACCTGTGTTACTGGTACGATTGGTAGGTATACGTTAAAAGGCCATAAAAGTTTTACATCGCTCAATGTCAATACCTTAAGTCTATTTTTGGGTAAAATGTTTTATCCATTAACTATAATTGTATTTGTATAAACTCAAGGTTGAACCAAAAAAGTGAATAATAAAATGGACAAATTCAATAAAGGTAACATAACCTTTATTTCTTCACACCTACTGCTGTTATTGTAATGCCCGTTTTCACCATCAGTCCCTAATTTTTAAGTGTCCCCTATGAAAACAAAATTTCTGTTATGGGTCACTTAAAAATTAGGGACTGTTGGTGAAAACGGGCCTTAGTCCAATGTTACACCTCCGTATCGTCCCTTATACTCTAGGCATGGAACATTTCATGAATAGCAGGTGAAACATCATATGAAATGAATTTCATTAATCACACCTGCTATTTTACTTCACATAGACTGCTATAATTTCACAGTCAACGAAATCACGAATCACTAGTCCAGTCAAATTAGACATGAACCCTGCAATAATTCGCATACAGCTGAAAATTATTATGAATGTTCGGAGCACCATTATGAATTAACTGTGAAAAGTCCCCATCGATCCGACGTGTGCTAAAAAAAAAATTCAAGGTCAAACTTAAAAAATACGGGTTTTTGAGATTTTCAGCCAAACGGTAAGTTTTATCACAAAAATATGTATGACAAGGTTTAAGACCATACAATTATCTATCAAAATTGTCTATACACTTTCTCCTAAGAGTCAGCGTTTCTGAGATTCGATGATCCGAAGAGTCAAAAAAGTGTTTTCTTCATAACGGTCTTACACATAAATAAATGTGATATCGCCTCGTGCCACGACTCAGCATTGTATCATGATGTGTTGTCGACGTCAAATATAAAATAATCAACCTCAATGTCGTCTGTCATCTTTAATTATCGAAAAATGGGTGCAGCTTTGACGAAGGACTGCACCGTGAGTTTCTAAGATACGAAGTTTTCGTGTCTATTATGTTTAAGAGCTCTTATATGCACACGTCATTACTCCACTTGTTACTCTATGGTCATTCTTTTAGCCCGACCAAGTTAGACAGTCTAGGTTATAATAATTCACATAGAGCTGAAAATTTGTGCGAATGTTAAGAACACCATCCTAAATGAAATGTCAAAAGTCCCCGACGATCCGTCATTTAAAAAAAAAGTTTTCGAAGTCCCAAGTTTTTTGCATTTTTTGACCAAGTAGTAAATTTATCATAAAAATAGATAAGAAATAATAGTAGATCATAAAATTATCTATTAAAATTGTCTTTACTCCTTTTTCCTAAGAGTCACCGATTAGGAGGTAGAAGGATTCAAAAAGTTAGTTTTGATGTTCTCGTTATNAGTGGACATGGCTGCATCCCAATGGCGCTACAAAAAAATGAGATAGACTTCATCTTGTCGACGAAGAAGCATATATTCAATGATGTCTCTGTGATCAATTCGGTCAAAACAGGAAGCGATCACCGAATGGTAAGAGGCACATTGAATATCGGACCCAAGCTCGAGAGATGTCGACTGATGAAGTCTACGCTCCGCCCAGCGCCCATCCAACTCCAAAACCCCAACTTCGAGAAAGAGGTCAATTGTCGAATCCAACTCGGATGGGCAGCGTTCGGGAAGCTTCGCCATATACTCACGTCCGAAATACCGCAGTGTCTTAAGTCGAAAGTATTTGANAGCCTTGTGCCGCCACAACGTAAGTTTTAATACCAGGTTTACTGACCTTGTACCGAAGGAATGGAAAGTATTAGAAAGTTACTGCCGCAGCAAAGGTGTTAAGTTTGACCTTAAATATTTTTTTTAGCACACGTCGGATCGATGGGGACTTTTCACAGTTAATTCATAATGGTGCTCCGAACATTCGTACCAATTTTCAGCTGTATGCGAATTATTGCAGGGTTCATGTCTAATTTGACTGGACTACACATGAATTTCATTCGTTCATTCGAGCGAAGTCCGTGAGCGCAGCTCTGCCAAGCGACCGAGCGAGTAAGAAGGAATGATTTGATCATGTGCGTGTTAGAAAAGGACGAGAGATGTGATGACGGACGAAACTGGGCATTTTAAATATGAACTTTAAACTCAAAGATGTAAGGTTTAGATTTCCTTGTCATGATTCGTATGATTTCATTAGATAGCAGGCAGATGAAATGAATGATTTTTCACTAGTCGCGCGGTATTGATAGTTGCATACGTACTATGCTGTGAAACTGTTTGTTTTTTGTTGTGCGACATAAAATGAAACAGTTATATTTTAGCTAATTAGCAATCGTTCATCATAATTCATGCTTAATTAAAAGTAGCACATAATATGAAAGAGCTACATTATAACACTGCGAATAAAAATCATTGCCTGTGAAATTTCGCATGTGAAATCGTATGAACAAAAATCATCATTTCATTGAATGAAAATGAATGAAAAATAGCAATCATTTCCATGCCTATTATACTCCAACACCGCGAAACTGCATTTTCGTAACTTGGTGTGTTGAAATATGGGACGACCGGTATGCTACTGACGTACTCGTAGCTACGCCGTAGTCAAGTGAGCGCTACGCTCGTAGCGGTTGGCTACGCTACGACGTAGTCACCTGTAGACTTCGTAACCATATTCAGATTTTTACGTTTCAAAAATGTGAAACTCATATGAAACTATGCAATTTGTTTAAAAATTATGTTATTTTACGTATTAGTCGTTTCAGCAAATATGTATTAGCAGTTATTATTAACATTAACTTTGATACAACTTACAGTCCTCATTTTCATACTAAACTTGATTACTTACCTAATTCATATCATATTTTTAGTTATTTAAAGCAAGTACTTACTCACTTATGAAACTGATCTGAATTACTAATAAGTTTAGTCGTATAAAGTCAAGTTTTACAGCTAAAAACATAAAATACCGTCTGGCATATGAATAAGTTCAGTAATCCAATCTAAATATCAAGTAGAACACTCATTATATTAATGAAATAAGATCTTAGAAAACTGGTAGACGTTCAACAAAAGAAGATTATTTAAAGAACAATGAAGTGGATGTATAGAATTCTATAGTTGAAAACGTTTCGTTGATTAAAAGAAAACTCGCTTTAGGGCGTTGTAGGTATATTGACCTTTCCAACCTCACCAGTCTTATATATCTGACGGATGACCAGCATTTACAACATCCACCTTTCCGTCACTTTAGAATATTAACAGTTTTTATTGAAAATCGTGGAGCCGAAAGAGATGGGGCGATCGCAGCGCCGAGAGCTCAGTGTCGGTTTCGCCGAGCGCAAGGACGCACGTACCCATCTGTCCGTTGCCTAAAAACGATCGAATTACGAAACTATAGTGTTGAGTGCGTGTTGTGTAGTGCTGTGCTTGTGTGACCCGTGAGTGTTTACTTTTTGAGTTACAAAAAAACAAGTGACTATCACCCGAGTGATTTCTTCGGATACGACGGTAAGCTCTTAACTCAGCCCTTCGGCGCTTTGGTGCTTTACTGCAGGCTTCGTGGCTTAGGCATAGCATTGTAGGGTTCACGGTCGTAAAAAAGAACAAGTTGAGTTACGGTGAACGGGCGATGCAAAAGTTTTTCGGTTTATTTTAGACAAGGAGGAAGGGTTATGTTTTAACCTGATTTCCGCAAGCTTGAGTTTATTGGCCATACGTTTTATGAGTGTTTTGAGTGTCTTAATATAAAGTTCGCATTTTGATTAATATAAGAACTTTGAAAATAGTCGTAGATTTTTTCTATTTAAAAAGTTTCTACCCCATTATTTAAAATTATAGCTTGACACGATTGAGAAATTAGAAATTTAAAGGCATTAAGCTATTCTCAAATTCCAGCGATTAGCATTCCATATTAAATTATTTCTTTAGTTTTTGTATAAAAAGTAAGGAAAAATATTCAATAGAACTGATTGCCTAAATATAAACTACAAAATCTGAAGAATCCCAATTAAAACTACATTAAACCTATTTTAAGACTTAGGGTCAAAGTAAAATGTAGTCCATAGCACAAATAACTACTTACCTTACGAATTTATACACTTTAAAAATAACCTTTTTCTGCAGTTAATGATTTACTTTACTTACAAAATTAGCTTAAGAGTAGTTCATAGCGGAAATACTATTAACAATACAAAATCAAGTGACATGCCAATGAAAGCTCTTGGTTTAGCTTTTAAAAACACTAAATAAGAAAATTAATAAAATGTTATATTTTTTAGACAAAAAGTGATCACATTTATTTGTATTATACTGATGTCAGAAGACGTCAGAAGTAATATCAAGAGCAGTGATCTTAGCAGCTATCACGATAGAAAAAGAAGAATACAGAAACTCACTAAAATCAAATAAAAAATGTTCAAAGCACACAATTTTATAATTTTAAAACACTCTCAGCATTAGCATTTTTATAGCAAATAATTTATTCTGAATACTAAAATCTTTCTGTTTGTCTTTTACTTTAACCTTTAACTGGTGACCTGCCCGTCTCTCAGACACCACGTTTCGTTTTTTTTATTTATCTCCCCGCCTTTTTGTCGCTTCTCCCCGTGCGTTTTGGTACCTTCCGCGTTTGCCATACACTTTCGCTCAGTAGGGGGCGCACTAGCTCAGGGTCTCCTGTGTTGCCTGTGTGGAGCTTTCGCCGTCTCACAGACGTCAGGTCAGTGCTAATGTGTATTTTACCTATGTGTCTGTTGTTCGTCACCTCACAGTTAGTTTACACAACTTCATAGTGTTTGAGGAACGTCACAGCGGTGGTAATGTATTGTTATTATCTTTTATAGAATGTATCATGATAAATAAACGAGGTCTGCCAAAAGAAGAAGGGTTCTTAGTCAGCGAGGTATAATACAGGAGCTTCTAACAGAGAGCGACGACGAGTGTAGTAGTTTTGACGACGATATACGCGATCCTGACTTCGTTTTAGAAAGTCTGCATGTTACCAAATCTGAGCAATCTGGAGATGAAATCAACACCTCCTCCATTTAATAACAGTGTCCTAACGAAATAGGAGGGGTTGATGGATGAGGTGGAACAAAGTGTTTCAACTATTCAACATCCTTATTGGCCTATGTATAATCATATTCTATAGCTTAACTCAGTCGATATTTTTCAGGAATAAATTCTTACGTCTTAAACAGTGATTGCGACAATCCTAACAAGGTAACAGCTTCTTATTATCATTGGATAGCTCTTTAGTTATACCTCAATTGAAACTGGTGGCTTATAATGACTACCCTACCCCGCGAGCTGCGTTCAGTTGGTGTTGATGAATAAACACCTAGACCGACTTCTGCCTCGTCCCAAAATCATTCTTGGATTAAAAGAACATTTGCCATTTGCCTTAGCCATGTAATAAAATGTACTAGGTTCACTAGAACTTATTATGATAAACCTATGTGCCTAAATTGCTGCAAGCAAAATTGTGATGTCTGTAGACGTGAACGTTTCTAGTAAGTGATGTTTGATGATTGTAGTTTTTTTAATTTCTTATCTTAGGATAGCTTTACCTGCTGAGTCGTGTTGATTAGTACCTAAACTATCTAAAAATGATCATTAGGAAGGCCCCAAAGTGTATTTCTGGGAGCTAGTATGCCCATTTTAGGTGACTAACATTTTTTTAAATGAAAAGTACCTTGCTCAAATAAAGACTGATTTTGTACCAAAAACTAATTTTTTTTTAAACCATGTTTTTATATTATTTGGACAACTATATAAGTTACGAAATTCTTGACCTCAAACTTATTTTACGTTAGCCAATTTTTTTGTACATTCGTTTTTCTTTGACGTCTCTTAAGAGCGTTGTCACATTTTTCATGCAGAAATCGAGAATTTGGCAGATTTCGAAATGATTTTAGTCATATAATTTATTGTTATAGCTTCTTTTGACTTATATCATCGTANTAGCATTTTTATAGCAAATAATTTATTCTGAATACTAAAATATTTCTGTTTGTCTTTTACTTTAACTAAGAACTTCATTAGTACAAAATGTACTAACCGACTTTCCACGATGTCACTTTTGTTTGATTTTGTACTTTAAGTAATTAAATAAAACAGAAAATGTATTTAAACGTAATTCAAAAGACTGAAGTATAGTCTTTAGTTTTTAGATAAATATCAATAATGACAAATCATTATTGATATTGAATGAGCCTAACTAAAATTGTTTTATTAGTGTTAAAAAAGGCGTGTCCACCAATAGTCAATCAAATCGTTCTACTAAATCAAAATTCGTTCTCGTTCTTATCAAACAAACGCCTATTTTCTTTAAATCTACATTTTTTTTCGGTCTATTAAGTTTATTATTATAGCCATACTCCGGTTATAATAATATTTAATTACAAGAACAGTGTTTCGGATGTTGGTAAGCCTATCCAGTTCATCACCTTCGGCCTGATCATCTCTTTCCATCAAATGAAACGCAGGCCATTCCCCATTGAGACTAAAAAAATATTTCAGGTCAAAAAAGTCTGCTTGATATTCATGAAAGAAACAAAGGGAATATTATTTACAAGGTCAAAACACAATTCCTTGATTAAACTGGGGCTTGATACTGTGACGGTATTATTTATAATATCACATATTACAGCTCTGAGAGGATTGTAACCGAGTTATTAATCTCAATTTATCATGTCGTGAGCCTCGCTTACCAAATGACTTTTGGTTTGGAACAGAGCCTGTTTAAATTAAAACTTTAATTAATTATTCAAAATTAGCGAGGCCCGCGACGATTTTTAATATAACTTTCTCATTTGGAACGGCTGAAGACATTTTTTAATAAAGACTGGGTTAGATTTTTAATGCTTTTGCAATGAATAACTAGATTTGGCCTGCGACTTCACCCGTGCGAAATTATTTTTTTCACAGAAAAACGTATCGTTCTAAATTAAAGCCTATGTTATTCTGATGCTTAACATATTGCTGTAAAGTTTCATTCACGTTTATTCACATCACAATCTTTCACGTTTATTATAATAACTAGCTGTGCCCGCGACTTCGTCCGCGTGGAATAATGACTTTGGGTAGGCACTTTTAATAATTTAGTCTAATTATTTTACAAATAGCTTTTGCTCGCGACTTCGTCCGTGGAGAAGTCGAAAACGTTCTCATACGATTATTTTTAAATGTTTTAAGTTATTTTCTAAATGTTTGAATACTTTTAAAATATAAAAATCAGGTTAAATAAACATGAAAATATTTTTTTCTTATATTTTATGAATATGCAGCTCGGCCTTTGATCCGGTGAAAGTTACTCGGTGGTATTATTTTTTTACAACGAAATCGAAAACTACACCTACCGCAGTATTATTGGTAAACTTTTTTTTATATTTTCCTACGGGTGCTGGAATCACCAAGCTTCCAGCATGCCCCTGGCCGTGGGAGAAGGAGCTTTTCCTCAAGACTACTCCCACTACCTCAAGGGCCTCCGCCAAAACTCTCGCGCGAAAATGAGTTTATGTATACAGCGCAACTATGCATTGTTGGGCGAGCGCACGCAGCGGGCACCCACTCCGAGGTTTAAGTGGAGGCCCCTAGAGTATGGTAGTCGTTAACATGACGTCATGATTGTAAAAAATGCACTAATGAGTAATTAATATCAACTTTGAAGCAAATCACCACTAAAATAACTTTCTACCCCTTTTTAACTTAGGGGGTGCATTTCACTAAAATACGAAACACGTCTTCCATTAATTCTGTTATAGAATGCTTATGCAAAATTTTAAGTAGATTGGACGAAGGAATCTCGTTATTTCATACAAACTTTGCCCCTCCTTTTTACCTCCTTAGGGGTAGAATTTTGGAAAATCCTTTCTTATCAGATGCTTACGTCATACAAAGAACACACCGTCCATGTTTCAGGTCTTTACGATCAGCGGTTTAGGCTGTGCATTGATCCATCAGTAGCGCGCGTAGTACTTGATCATTATTTTGCTGCGATGTGATTTTAAAACTGCGATATCTCCTAAGATATTTATTGAAATCGAATGGTGTAAAGGGCAAGAATGTTTAAAATTAAATACTTGTGGTGAATAATTTATTTATTTGGATAAGGATTAATATCATGTTTATAAAAACACCTTCGCAAATAATGCATATTTTAAAACATATTTTTTTTGCATAAAAATGGTTACTATGAGCCAACCTTAAAAGATAGACATATGCTACCGCGGACTTTTTTAAAGAACTTTTAAAGGGGAACAATCCTGTCATACATGATTTTTGCGAAACTTTAACCGTTTACGCAGCGTCAGCTCTCAAAAGGAAAAAATTGACTGATTTGAAATATTCTTGATTGGTGCTCCGCTCCTATTGGTCTTAGCGTGATGATAAATAGCCTAAAGCCTTCAGGAACTAACGGGCTATCCAACACAAAAAGAATTTTTCAAATCGATCCAGTAGTTCCTGAGATTAGCGCGTTCAACCAAACAAACAAACAAACAAACAAA